TAATTTGGTGTGTGAAACCAATTATGGAAAATGTGCAGATGTTTGAATGTGCTGAATACAACCTGGTGCTTTTCAAAGTTCTGCACTCAATGTGCTGATGTAAAGCTGAAGAAAGTTAGCTGCATATGGATGCAGAAACATCTCCCCAAAACTGGAAGCTGTGCTCAGTAATGCTGCAGTGGTGGTTACATTAAATTACATTAGTTAGTGTGGATGATCACATGTGCCTCACCTCCAAACAAAGAGCCCTTCCATGTACGTCCAGCAATGAGCTGAATGGGTCGGGCTGCAAAGTCGTGGAGATCAGTCCAGCCAACCAGCACGCTGACACCCCAGCCTTTGATACAAGACTCCAAGGCACTGCGCTACATGATAAAACCAGCCAAATGTCAGCTGACTTGTAAACATAGGGTTCTTGACCATATTTACAAACTGATCCAGTCTTTATTCGAATTTGTCAGTCTGCCTCACCATGACTGCCACGTTCCCGACACATTCCAGGGAGTAGTCCACACCTCCACCAGTCATCTCAGCCAAAACTTCATTGATGGGTTTGTTGTGATCCTTTGGGTTCACAAACTCAGTGGCTCCAAACACTTTGGCCTTCTCAAACTTGTCTGGATTGATGTCAACAGCGATAATCCTTTTGGCCCCTGCAGCCTTGCAGCCCATGACTGCAGCCAAACCCACAGCTCCCAGACCAAACACGGCACAGGTGGAGCCCGGCTCAACCTGGAGGAAAAAAAATAGTCAGTTTGGATACTCTGGACTTGTTAAGACTTCATACAGTAACAAACATCAATCTTCGCCTGCTGTCAAACCTACATACACACCTTAGCAGTATTAACAGCTGCCCCATATCCAGTGCAGACCCCACACCCAAGGAGGCAGACTTTGTCCAGAGGAGCAGCCGGGTCGATCTTAGCCACAGCCATCTGGTTCATCACAGTGTACTCAGAGAAGGTGCTGGTCCCCATAAACTGCAGCACCTTCTTCCCCTTACAGGTGAACCTGGATTCTGCTAAAGCCATCACATCAGGACTATCAGAAGCCCTGTACAGAAAACATTGGTTAAAAAATATAGTACTTTGTGGCAGAGGGCACATATAAAACAAATTCTACGATTAAGCGAAATTAAGAAAACGATTAACTCACCAGCCTTTTTCACACTGATTGGTCTTAGGATTCTTACAGAAGCGACATTCCCGACACTGGGAGATGAACAGAGGGATCACCTTGTCTCCTAAAATTCAAAAACAAGACTGAGAATGCTGCATCTTACCGAGACCACCTGGTGAACATGACAAGACAGACAAATGAAAGCTTTAACTGACCTGGCTGAAACTCAGTAACGCCGGGGCCAACGCTCTCTACTATGCCGGCTCCCTCGTGTCCAAGCACTGCTGGGAAGCCATCTTTGTGCATACCCTCAAAAAGGTGGTACAGGTCAGTGTGGCACACTCCAGTTGCAACGATCTGCATGAGAACACAGATGATTGTTTCTTTTGGACACTTGAAGAGTTTGGCTTGTGGTTTTATCTGTGCAGTTTGCTAAGCTTTTTACCTGACATAGCAAGAATGTGAAAGAAATGGAAACGCAAGGGAATGGATAAAACTCTGTCTTTTGCTATATACCAGAAATACACCCAAAATTAGGAAGCATTTTGTTAAATAAGAACATTTCTGGGGTTAAAATTTCCCCGGATGTTATTAGGTCTTTATCTGAGTCCAGTGGCTAACATCTCTGTCCTGATTTTTCATGGACTTTTAGAGATTAAATACAGTGGCTACACCCCATCAAACCTGGTCACACATGGTTATTCTTTGTGGTAAAAGGTGTCCAAGTTCCACAGTTTCTTTTGTCATACTGTGTGGATAGTGTACTGCAATTCCATAATGACTAGTTAAAAAAAAAAACTGCTCACTGTCGCCTACAGCTTTTAGCCTTAGAATCATTTTGAACAGCATTAAATGGTATAGAACCAACAAGTACTACTGAAAGACAATATTTTTCATATCTGCTCCCATCAGAGATTCAGTTTTTAGATGATAGCCTCATTTGCTAGCTAATGATAGCTAATAAAAATCTGCATTAGTATACTTTATTAGAGCTAAAGGCAAGATCTACTGTGTGACATTGTAGGTCTCATCTCTGTATCTCTGTGCCTCTTGTCAGTCAACTGGACATGAAATCTTGGAGAAGATGAGCCTGGAATTACTTTAAGATCCTAAAAAGGAGCTAAGAGTTATTTTACAAACAGTCTGCAGAGCATCTGATGGTATTCTGACTGCATTTCACATTGAAATGTGCTGACATGTCACTAAACAATATTGAGCAACATTTTGAAAGGAACGTAGTTTCACTGGGTCTGACTGACATCATACGTCCGCAAGTAAACACCGTCTTATTTGTCTGATCTACAGGGTGGAACCAAGCACACCATTGTTTTTCTTGTGACATTACCAATAAGTTTGATGTGTCACATGGCCCTCTTCCTATTGAAAAAAACAAAAGTTGTATCCAAGATGGCCGACTTCTAAATGGCCACCATGGTCACCACCCATCTTGAGGAGTTTGCCCCCTCACATATACTAATGTGCCACAAACTAGGACTTTAATATCACCAACCATTCCCATGTTATTACGTGTATCCATATAAATGGCCCACCCTGTATATTTTTTTATGTCTATTTTTGTCACCTGCACTTTGTCCTTGTCAGGTTACAGCTGATTTGAATATTTGAATATTAGCTGCACTTTAGTTATCTGAGTTTTTATCTTTCAGATTTTTCACTTTTGCCTTATTACCCATTTTTTGTGTTTCACCATGAGAAACAGTTTCCTGCAACTTTTGCTTAGATTAGAACCCACTATTATGATTCCTTTCATTCACCAACACAAGTGCACTAAGAGATCTCTGTGAATGTATGTGTGTCGATTCTCACCTTGATCCGGACCTCATTGGCCTGAGGTGGGGCTACCTCAATCTCCTCAATCACCATAGGCTTGTTTGGCTCCCAGGCCACTGCTGCCTTGCACTTGATGACCTAAAGTGGCAGCGTGAAATGTCACATTTTTGGGGTGCTGCTGAACTATACCAAGATGGGTTTCTGGAGAGTTATGACAAGCACCTACTCATGTAGCATTTGTAATTTGAAGTGCATTAATGCCTGCCTGGCACAACTCGAGAAATTTCAAACATCTTTAAATTATACTATTCAACTGGTGCAAGCAAGAGTTTGTGCAAAAGAGCCACTGTTTAACAGCAGATTGGTTTTAATAGTTCAGATAAGGCTTTTCCTGCAGAAGGGCAAACATCATATGACAAGGAACAGTCTAAAGTCCATGTCTCATTTAGCAAATGTAGTAAATGTAGACTCTGGAAATTGAATAACACAAAATAAACCATTCACTAAATCACATGTTGTTACATTACATAAATAAAGGGGCTTTTTTGGTCATTATTTTTGAATTCCCTGCACTAAATTCTTGGGCATGCGCCATACTTTTCTTTTGGCCTTCCACAGCAGCATCCTTGCCAAAATTTGCAGTTGCACAAAACTGTCTCGATGGCTTGAAAGTGCATTCCAAGTCAAAATAGGAAACGCAATATTTCACAGATGTATTTCATCACAGTTTTATTGCAATCAAAGTAGTAACTCTAGGCTGGGCTTAGTGGAATAAACATGCATGTGTAAAAGGATATAGGTTAACAACTGCTCAACTGCCCTGAAACCCTTATCTGTAACACTTTCGGCTATTACAGTGTTCATGACACACCCACCCACACTTAGACACAGAGGTACAGCAAAATACATTTCAACCAAGTACAATATTTTAATGTGAGGTTTGCAACAAAATTTTTTGAAACAACAAAACAAAAACAAACAAACAAACAAACAAAAAAAAAAAACCCACATTAAAACATTAAAGCTGTAAATGAGGCCTCCCATGTGGAATTATGTACCTACCTTACCAGCGGTGGACATTTCTGCAACTATGACAGAGTCACAAAAAAGTTGAAAGCAACAGGAGCTGCAGGACTGGAGTCAGAGAAACTCGCTTGGACTTGCTGCTAAAATACTACAGCTGGAGAGGGAGTTATGCAACCACCAGATGGGCAGGGACTTTTCAATGATTGCAAACCGAAAACGGTTTTTCTTCTTCCCTTGCTTAAACTCATATGGAGAATAGATATGGAGGCTGCTATGTTTGCACAAACAACCCACAGTCAACACAGATGATAATAAATCATGGAAAAACTCACTTTTGTGCTGCGTTTATCAAAAACTATGACAACTTACAGAGCTACCTGACGCTGTATTTCTGTTATTTTGTTTGAGTGGCCATCGTGAGTCATTTATGCTGAATGGCATAAAAATTTATATTCATTTCTTTATAATTACACAGTTTATGACACTCGACAACAATCATCACGATGACAAATTCACTGAATTGTTCTATAATTTTGAAAACTTTATATAGTATGTCAAGGAGGTGACAAAGATTTCGGTGGCACTCAGGCTTCACATTCACAGTTTGGAAATTTGACAGATGATTTCTTAGTCAACTGTACAATCACAGACGCGTAACAGTAAGTTGGTACATTAGAAATGTTATCTTTTGGATTTGTGTACAATGTAACTGGACTTTAGTAACAGTTCTAGATATTGCATCAGCCCTTTAATCTTATATAGATAAAAGTCAATATGCAAGTCTTTGAGAGAACTCCCATCATAAACTTTATAATTATCAACTACCCTTCTCAAGACCTTGAAATAAAACTTGCTACAAACTCTCAAGTTCATTCCAGTCCAGGCTGTCAGTTATCTGTACCCCCAGAAAATCCCTGGTGACTACCTCAACAGCACTGTTGTCATTGATGAGAGTTTTGTCCTGAATTCGATGATCATCTCCTTGGTCTTCTTGACGTTTCGGAACAGATTGTTAGCACTGCACAGGTCCACTGCTTCACCTTGTCTCTATAGGACAGGTCGCTGTTGTCCCTAATGAGACCCACCACTGTTGTGTCGTGTGCATACTTGATGATGTGACTAGAAGCAGATGCAGCACTGGAGTCATGTGTCATGAGTCCAGCAGCCAGTTAACCATGGGAGTGCTGACTGTTTTCTACTCCAGATGTACCAAGCTCAGGTGGAGAACAGAGGAAATGGCGTCCTCTGGAGAGCGGTTTGGCTGGTAAGCAAACTGGAATCGGTCAAATATGGGAGGCATTAAAGATATGTAGTCCTTTACCAACTTCTCGAAGTTCTTCATCATTATGGGAGTTCGTGCAGCAGGGTTGTAGTCATTAAAACACGTGATGGGCACAGGGATGATGGTGGCAGACTTGAAACATGATGGAACCACAGTCTGCTCCAAGGAGTTGTTAAAGATATCTCAAAGGACATTTGCTAGCTGGTCACCGCACTCCCCGAGTACTGTTGGGGTTTTTATTATGAGAGACAAGACAAATATGCTCCAATTATAAGCTTTCACAGATAATTAATAAAACATTTAAAATTTTAAATTAGTTTTACATGGCGTTGTAGGCCTCTCTCAGGCTCAAAGGCTGCCGCACCCAGGCAGTATACACTTTTAATTGTTGGTCACAGAAACTGAATGTTGACATGATTGGTCGAAAGAGCTGAGAGTGGCCTTAGGTCTGATACCAGCTCACGGCCAATCACCAGCTCTGCAGCTTTCTGGACCTCTCCTTATTTGGGGACGCCCTTTTGCAGGCAACACTCCCGTTACGATGAAACCACGTTTTGTTCTCCGGTCAGCCCCGTAGAGTTAAAGAAGGGGTGTAAAGTGCATACCATAACAGCAGATTTATGATCAAGGCCACATTCCTGTGAGGGGGTTGTGAGGAAGTGTTGTCTCTGTTAGTATCAGAGTAAAAGTCTACTTCCAAAACTCCTACATTACACTGTGTGCAACAAAGGACAAAACACAAATATGTGATACTAATTATGAGATATTAGCCTTAAAGATCAAAATAAATCCCAACAGTACCCATCCTGGAATGTTTTCCGTACATTCACTTTTCCCAGTGTTTTCCCAGACATCATCCGCATTGAGATTCAGCGCTTTCTCATCCGCGTGAAGACTGGCTTTTATTGCAGAGGTGTTGTCTGTTGCAAATCTACAGAAAGATTCGTTGAGGTCGTTGAGGAGGTGTGGGTTGTTGTCATACAGTGTAGGAGTAGCCTTATAAGCTATTATTGCTTGAATCTCCTGCCACATGCACCTGGTGTTATAGGGTCACAGAAGAAACTGAACCTTCCAGCATAAATGCACAGTTCAGGCTGACTCTAGCTGTCTTGAACACAGCCTCATCACTAGACTTAAAAGCAGCATTCCATACTTTTAGCTTTTTGCGTGCCTCCGGTGTCATCCAAAAAAACCCAAACAAACCCTAAATTGGACATTATATCTAGAAAGTCTTGCTGGCGGACGTTGGTTACTGGCCTGGTAGCCTGGCTGCCCCTGGGAGGGTCCGGGACGGGCGTGGAGGCTTGGGGGTCTGGGGGTGCTCCGCCCCCCGGTCTGGGGTGCTGGCCGGGCCTTGGGGGCTTGGGTCCTGGCTGTTGTGTCGCCGGAGCAGTGGGCGGGTGGGTGCAGGGGGGCTCAGCCCCAGTGCAGGGGACCTCTGGTGCATCGGCCCTACTAGGGGGCTCTCTAACTGGTGGGGAGGTTGTTATATCTTTGCAGGTGGTCTCCTCACTACAGGAGCTCACTCTGCAGGTGGGGGGAGAGATATAGGAGAGGTGGAGAATGAACTCAACCTGGGTGTCTATTGTCTTGTGTAGTTTGGGAGATGATTGGATGATGGGGTGGGTGCAGTTTTCTCTGGGGTGGAGTCGGGTGGGCTGCCCCGGACTCTGTGGGGCTGGGCGGTGCTGCTGCTGCGGGCCCCGGTCCGGATGGGCCTGGGCCCCCTTGCCCTGGTGGGTTCCAGAGTGTGGGGTGCCTACTGGGGTCAGCGGGCCGGAGCCCTTTCTTCCCTCCCCATCCTCAGCTGACCTCCCTATTCCCGCTCTACCACACCCACCCACACACGCAGGGCTTGGGGTGCAGGTATGTCACCAGGGTGCAGGGGAGGCACTCCCCCTCTGTCCCCTTCTGGCCGCCTGTGCCTCAATTTTATTCTGCAACCTAGACATCCACATTACTCACACTCTCACATAACACATACATATAGGGCCTTGGGGGTGGGCACGTTTTACAGCATCCAGAGGATGGTCGGTGTACTCCAACCCACCTCTGGCGCTGGTGCCCTACCCTCAATTTTAAATGCATTTAGACACTAAGGGTTTTCGGGAGGAGCCGTGCTGCTCTCTGAGAGGAAGCTAGTACCATGCTCTCCTGAGTTTTAAATGCACTTTAGAACAGCACACAGCAACACTACATATGAGCGGGCGTAGGGAGGTTTGAGGTCTTCACTCACCCCGGTTCTGTTAGCCGTCAGGGCTGGGGGGCTGGGAGGAGGTGCTGGCCGTCAGACTGGGGTCTGGGATGCGGGGCCTCCCTGCTACTGCAGATAAGGAGGTGGTCCGCTTGCCTCCACCCCAGAGAGAAGGGTTACATCTCCTGGGTCTAGGTGCGGCTTGCCCCTCTGAGGGCGGGGGTACCTGGACCTGGGATATAGAGTATGTTTGGGGAGTGCGACTGTCTGTGCAGTGTCTATTTGTGTCTGTCTACACGTTGGGTGAGTGCCGAGTATTTGGTTGTGCATATGGGGTGGGAATGCACGTTTGTGTCCGCGTGTGCCTGTTCGTCTGTGTCTATATGTCAGGTTGGGTCTTAGACTCAACCTCTCTGGGTACATCTCAGGCCCTCTAAAGTACGGAGGCCTATCTCCCCTCACCACACTCCCTGCCGGTGGCTGATGCCCTCAGACGTTGGTGTGTTGGTGGTCCTTGTCGTCTGGGGCTGGGCGCTCATGTATGTACCGGCTCACTCCTGGTGGCCGATTGGCGGGGCCGGGCGCCTGTGGCCCGGCTGGGCTCCTTCCGGGGGGTGGGATGCCCTCAGGCCTCTGGGCCTGAAGCTCGGTCCTCTCTGGCACAGCTGGCTGCCGGCAGAGCCCGCGGGCACGCCACTGCAACCCCCTCTGGCCTCTGCTCCGTAGCTGCGGGGTGACCTCTCCTTTGGGGCTCTACTCAGCTCTTCCCAGGAGGGTGGCACGGTTCCCCCCCTTTGGTGGTCCTCCTCGGGTCCTTGTACTCTGGGGCCTCTGGATATCTGGGGCCTGGATCTCCTCCATACCTGCTTCATACCCTGGGGACGGGGCTGTGGCTCCCCACACTCCCTAGCAGATCGTTACATGGAGAAACCTTTGGAATGCAAGCATGCTGATCCACACAGGTATGCACACAGGTGTACACACGGGTGATTCACAGACGCGGACTACAGCTTTCTTGGCTGCTGCCTCAAAGCACATTGTGCGCTGTCTATCTTGCGTGCTGCACAATATCGTTTATTATTTAGTATCTACTGATATCTACTGCTAGCTAGTTTATTGTGATGGTGCTGTTTTTTTTTATTATGTTGCTCTTTGTTGTTTGCTTTCTCTTCTGTTTTTTTTCTCCATACAGGTGACCCAGGTGTTTTGTTTTTTTTTTTTTTTTCTTTCTTCCCCCCCTTCTCACCGTCTCTTCTCCCCTTTGGTTTTCTTTCTCTCCCTCTCTTTCTTTCATTCTTTCTCCCTGTCCTATCCCCCAGTCATGTCTGTCCCGTTTGTAGCAACTGAAAATAAAATAAATTCATAATTATAATAAAGGTCAATCAAATGGACCAATATGGCAAGGCCATGATGATCCACTTGGTAAAATAAATCCGCTTGGCATCTTTCTTGGCCTTAAGACAACAATTCTGATGGCTAAAGATCCAAACGGGACACAAAAAAAAAAAAAAGAAAAAAACAATAGGAATAAAGAGGCTCTCCAAAGTCTTTAAAGAGTTATTCCAAAGGTGTGAAACAATCACCTCACAAACAGCTGGCAACTTAAAAAGATACAGTTATGATAAAGTTTAACTGCAAGAAAAATG